GGACTCACCACTCCCTTGCTATTCTTATGGTAAAATTGGAACAGAGGGAGGAGTGAAGGTTATTTGGAGGACCTGGGCTAGAGGGTGATGGCATGGAGACAACCTGTTCCTGAACTTGCCTTTGCTTATCCAGGAGGGTGTTAGAGAGGATCATAGATAAGGCAAAGGGAGTAGACAAGGTGGGCAGTAGACCTAAAGGGCTGGTTCTGAGATAAGGTTGGGATTCTTAGGTGGGAGAAAGGAGGTATGGTGAATGAGACAGTGAAGAGCTAGAAAGGGGCTTGGCTAGTAAGGGCTTTGGAAGTAAATAGAACTTGAGCTGAAGAACGTGAGGTATGAAGAGAAGGTTTAGACAGCACGCTTGCCTCAGAATCAGCCCTTACGGCATTCGGACCTGGCTAAAAAGCCCATGAGAGTTTCCCAGGCATGGAAAGACAAGACACTGCAAAAATGACCTAATTGAAAGATCTCTGTGAGTGAGATCCCAGTGGAAAAAACGGGCCATCAAAGAAGGAGGTACCTTCCTCTGAAGGGAGGAGAGAACTTCCACTTTGACTATGGCCTTGTCTAAATAAGGTCACAATTGTGGACTCAAGAGGCTTCCACAGCCTTGGCAGCTCGTGACAAGAGCCTCGGGTGATTACTGACATCACAAATAAGAGTGTCAATTGTTAAATCAAGAACAGGAGTCACTGTGCACTTATTCCCCACATAGGATCTCTGTCCTTAATGTGTCGTACTGAGAATTAACGGTAAAATTAGTCTTCAAACAGTACCCTACACTTTGTGTGTCTGTGTGGGTGCAGTCTGTTGAAATCTTTACCTAGTATATACTAAATTGATGTTCTCTATATAAAGATAATTGAAATGAATCTGATGAAGAATGGGATGGGAGAGGGAGTGGGAGATGGGATGGTTGCGGATGGGACAGTGGTTATGGGGGGGAAAACCACTATAATCCAAAAGTTTTACTTTTCTTTTTTTTTTTTTTTTTTGACAGGCAGAGTGGACAGTGAGAGAGAGAGAGACAGAGAGAAAGGTCTTCCTTTGCCGTTGGTTCACCCTCCAATGGCCGCCGCGGCCAGCGCGATGCGGCCGGCGCACCGTGCTGATGCGATGGCAGGAGCCAGGAGCCAGGTGCTTTTCCTGGTCTCCCATGGGGTGCAGGGCCCAAGCACCTGGGCCATCCTCCACTGCACTCCCGGGCCACAGCAGAGGGCTGGCCTGGAAGAGGGGCAACCGGGACAGAATCCGGCGCCCCGACCGGGACTAGAACCCGGTGTGCCGGCGCCGCTAGGCGGAGGATTAGCCTAGTGAGCCGCGGCGCCGGCCTAAGTTTTACTTTTGAAATTTATATTTATTAAATAAAAGTTTTCTAAAATAAAAAATTATAAAAAAAGGTTTAGAGAAGAGATAGGAGAAAGCTTAGATATACGGAATCTACTTTCACTTTCCCAAACACCCACAGATTCCCGAGTGTCAGAGTCAAATGTGCCATTAAGTGGCCATTTTAACTGGCTGTTGAGGTCATACATGGGCCTCGCCTGATACCAAAAAGAGGCAATGACATTTGAGATTTGGAGGCAATTTAAGAGGGGCTAAATTGTTTAGGAGACAACTGAGAGGAGAATCAGATGGAATGTGGGATGAGGAAGCTCCCATGGCGACCTGTGAGTCAGACTGGTGGTTATCAGGTATCCACAAGATCATGGCTGTCTGAAAGGGAGGGTACAGGAACAGAGAGTTGGGATCATCACCCGTGTAGCCATTGGCGCCTATGGCCTAAAGCCCATGGAAGGCCTACAGTCCATGGATGGCTTAAAGTCCGTGGAAAGGCATAAAGCCCGTGGAGAGGCATAAAGCCTTGGGAGTTGTGGTGCCTGGTACCAGGACTTCAAGACAACACAGAGCAAAACCACAATCCGTGGTAAAAGTCACAGTGGGAGAATTCCCCATTCCCCATCTTTCTTGAGGATTCTGAATGGCAAGTGTGCGGATGGAAATCACAGAACATTTGGTAATGAAGGTAGCCCAAGGAGTGAGTTTTGTGGTTGGCAACAGGCCAGGATCCCAAAGCCTCCCAAATCACCAAGGGGAGAACGAGGTCCACAGAGAACTTGGATCCAAGTCACAGAAGCAATGGAGGGCCACCACAAAACACCAAACATTAAAGTTAAAGGAAAGGTATGTTGCTGGGTGGGAAACAGGCTGGAGGAAGAGGCAGAAAAGGGAGAACGATCAGGAGCACGTGTATGGGCAGCAGGTTTTGTTATAGCCTTAGAGAAGGTAGGCAAATGGAAGCAATGAATCTCATTAGGGTGGAGGTGGAGCTGATGCTTGTGGTTGGGCCATTTGGTCACCTGACATTTAGCAAGCCAGGCTGGGCTTAGGACCAAAGTTTACTATACAAGATGGCAATGGGGTCATAGCCTAAGATGGTGCCTGGGGCTTAGATGGTGCCACGCATAAGACTGCACCATTTTACTAACACCACTTGATGCTCTAATCTGTCATTTAACAATTTTTAAACCTAAGTAGTGTATTAAATTTCTTTTTTTAATTTTTTTGACAGGCAGAGTGGACAGTGAGAGAGAGAGAGAGAAAGGTCTTCCTTTGCCGTTGGTTCACCCTCCAGTGGCCACCACGGCCGGCGCACCGCGCTGATCTGAAGCCAGGAGCCAGGTGCTTCTCCTGGTCTCCCATGGGGTGCAGGGCCCAAGGACTTGGGCCATCCTCCACTGCACTCCCTGGCCACAGCAGAGAGCTGGCCTGGAAGAGGGGCAACTGGGACAGAATCTGGCACCCCGACCGGGACTAGAACCCGGTGTGCCAGTGCCACAAGGCGGAGGATTAGCCTAGTGAGCCGCGGCGCTGGCCTTAAATTTCTTATATGCTATATGCTTTTTGAGTTTTTACACAAAGAACTGGTATTATGGGGTAGAAGATAGAATTGCTGCCTGCAAAGCCAGCATCCTATAATGGGCACTGATTATTCTATCAGCTGCACCATTTCCAATCCAGTCCCCTGCTAATTAACCTGGAACAACAGCAGAAGATGGTCCAAGTAGTTGAGCACATTTAGTCAAGTGAGAGACCCCTATAAGCTTCCTGGCTTCAACCTGGCCCAGCCCCAGCCATTGTGGACAGTTGGGAAGTTAACTAACAGATGGAAGATCCCTCTCTCTCATTTTCTCCTCCTCTAATTCTGGCTTTTAAATCAATAAACCTTAAAGGAAGTTTTTACATGAATTTCAAATGTTGAAGCCTCTTTATTTCCTATTCATGATCTTCAGCTGAATTTGCTAAAAACCCTAACTGTGCCACATTATTACCAATTTTAAGAACATAAATTTTTATTTAAAATCATTTTCAACTATTTCAAGAATTAATTTGAACTCCTAAATAGCCTTGTACTCCAATATTTCTAAACCTGGCAATACTTATTTTATTAAGAAATGTATTAAACTGAGTTAGTTCAGATTTGATTTAAATGGAAATTAAGGGTTCCAGTAACTCTCATTTCAGTCATTTAGTTCTCTAATTTGGATACAAAAAATATTTTTTTCCAGTTTGTTCAATTTCAGTATGAGTCTTTCCTTTCCTAGCATAGCAGTTAATTGCCTATAACCATCACCCAATTGTCTGGGAAACATTACTGTATCTTTCAATTCCATTTTCCTGCCATGTATCAGGACACACACACACACACAAAAACTTAGTATTAGGACAGTGATTATTTTTTAAGATTTATTTACTTTACTTGAAAGTTAGAGTTACACAGGGAGAGGAGAAGCAGAGAGAGGTCCCCCATCTTCTGGTTCACTCCCCAATTGGCTGCAATGGCCAGAGCTGCACTGATCTGAAGCTCCACCAGGTGCTTCTCCCAGGTCTCCCACATGGGTGCAGGGGCCCAAGGACTTGGGCCATCTTCCACAGCTTTCCCAGGCCACAGCAGAGAGCTGGCTGGGAAGTGGAGCAGCCGGTCTCAATCCAGCTCCTGTATGAGATGCTGGCACTGCAGGCAGCAGCTTTACTTGCTACACCACAGTGCTGGTCCATGGACAATGAGTTTTAAAGCCATTCTGGAGACTTCTCAAACCTTTTTACATGTTTCACTTTTTAAAAAGAGCAACTTAATGATTTGCTTATCCTGCTTAATTAAGGCCATCTTGCCATGAAGAAATTTAATGACACAAATGAAATTTCAAATACAAGGGTACTTTTAAAAAACTCATTAGTTTAGAGTTGGCATTGTAGTACAGGAGGTAGAGCCGCCTCCTGCGATGGCAGGCACCTAATATGGGTGCTGGTTTGAGTCCTGGCTGCTCCACTTCCAGTCCAGCTCCCTGCTCACACATCTGGGAAATCGGCAGAAGATGGTCCAAGTGCTTAGGCCTCTTGCCACCCATGTGGGATACCAAGGTGAAGCTCCGGTTCAGTCCAGCCCGGGTTATTATGGCCACTTGGAGAGTAAATCAGTGGATGTAAAACAGTCTCACCCTCTTTCTTTTCTTTCTTCTTTCTTCTTTCTTTCTTTCTTTCTTTCTTTCTTTCTCTCTTTCTTTCTTTCTTTCTTTCTGACAGGCAGAGTGTGGACAGTGAGAGAGAAAGAGAGAGAGAGAGAGAGACAGACAGAGAGACAGACAGAGAGAGACAGAGAGAAAGGTCTTCCTTTTTGGTTGGTTCGCCCCCCAGTAGCCACTGCGGCCAGAGCGCTGCGGCCGGCACACCGCGCTGATCCGAAGCCAGGAGCCACTCGCCTCTCCTGGTCTCCCAAGGACTTGGGCCATCCTCCATTGCACTCCCAGGCCACAGCAGAGAGCTGGACTGGAAGAAAGGAGCAACCGGGACAGAATCCAGCACCCCAACCGGGTCTAGAACCTGGGGTGCTGGCGCCGCACGTGGAGGATTAGCCTATTGAGCCACGGTGCCGGCTCACCCTCTTTCAAGTAATTATTTCTTTATAATATAAAGATAGTTTAAGGGCTGGTGTAGTGACATACATGCAACAAAGAACAATGCAACGGGACACAGGGTTTTGTGCAAACTTTTATTCTAAGAACTTTTAACAGTACAAACACTCTCAAGAAGAAACGTTTATTTCTCAACAGCGACACTGACATTACTTTAAACAAATCTATCTATATATTGTAAAAGGGAAAAGTCACAGAAGAGAAGTTAATATATGCCCCCTCCTCCAAAACCAAGGTATTTCTTTTAATAGCTAGTACTTACAACACAAGAAAAGTAGCATTTAAATTTTCTGTCTGCAAAGGAAGTTTGGCAAACAAGTGTAATTTTTGTTTTAGTACCTTCTTCGTCCTCCTCTTTCAGACTGGCCTCTCCCCTGACTGCCTCTAGAAGCCCCACAACTTGAACTACCATATGATCCATGAGGAACATAGTACACCCTGTCCAGAGAAGGTGGGAACCCTCGTTCCCGTCTGCTACCACGTGCACGACCAGTTGGATACATGTCACTTCGACTGCTTGAGTAACTGTCCCGATTTCCACCATATCCATCTCGTGTACTGTTACAATCTTCGTAACGATTGTTTCCACTGTAAGTCAGTGGAGGCCCTCGTGCAGATAGTACGCCACGGGAATTCCCTGCAGTTCAATGATCAGAAAGCAAAACTTCAACACTTTTTGGGTATCATTACACCATGATACTGGTTATTAAACAGTTGAGAAAACATGCTTTTATCTGCCTCTAATGACATCAATTAAGCTGTAGTAGGCAGGGGTCTTAAGTTGAAAGTAACAAATATTTACTTCCTCTGAAAACAGAGTGAATTTTAATGTTTCATGCAGATCCTATACATAACATTGTCACACTCATTATTTTAAAATGTAAAGATTAAACTTCCCAATGGGAGGAAAGATTAACTTTCATTAATAGCAAACTGTTTGGCTCAATATTCTCAATCTAGTCAAGAGACCATAATAGACAATTTACATTTTGTGAGTAAAATTATATTCACCATGTGGCTGGTTTAGCTGAATCTATACTACACAAATCAAAATTGGACACTTACCATAATTGTCAAATGCATCTCTATAAAAGCCTCTACTTGGATGCTCAGAATAATCTCTATTGCGACCATAGCCACCACGGTCACTAGATTTAGGAAAGATTTAATTAATTTAAAAATTACCAATTTCAGTAACATAATTGATAAGCACAGAATTTTCAAGGTACCTATATCCTCTAGAGAAATGTTCATCCCGAGGACTAGAATGGCCATAATCATGGTACACAACGTCTCTAGTTGGAGGACCATAATCCTTGCCTTCTTGGGAACCTGGATAATCTCTGTAACTTAAAAGCAGTGGGTTTTAAAATATTAATTTCTAAAGTACAAAACACAAAAACACTATCTCTTAAACACACACAAAAATCAGCGAAGTTATTGAACAGTATTCCTTCAAATACTACATACAAATGGGCTAAAAGTACATGACACAACTCCGTAATTCATTAGGAAAATGAAAATGATGACCAAATAAAGACATGTTTCCTATCTACTACAAAGTCTATACTAAAAAAAAAAAAATTGAAAAAGGGGCCAGCTCTGCGGCACAGTGAGTTGTTCCTCTGCCAGTGGCACCGGCATCCCATATAGGTGCCAGTTCTAGTCCCTGCTGCCCCTCTTCCAATCCAGCTCTCTGACATGGCCTGGGATAGCAGTAGAGGATGGTCCAAGTCCTTGGGCCCCTGCACCTGCACAGGAGACCGGCAGGAAACACCTGGCTCCTGGCTTCGGATCAGCCCAGCTCTGGCCACTGCAGCCATCTGGGGAGTGAACCAACAGAAGGAAGACCTTTCTCTTTCTATCTCTCCCTCTCACTGTCTGTAATGCTATCTTTCAAATAAATAAATAAAATCTTTTTAAAAATGGAAAAAAGAGAGGATATAAACACACTGGGATCCTAGAGTATTGGTAATATAAAATAAACTGGTGCAACTGCTATGTTGTAATTTAATGACTCATCAAAAAATTAAACCTAATTATTACTTCCCTCAATAATTGCAGTTATTTATGTATATATCCAAAGTAACTGGAAACAGATACTCAAATATGATTTGAATGATCCTAGGAATATTATGTTAGAAAAGAACTTAAATAGGGTGAGGCTGTGGCACAGAAGGTAAGACCACCGCCTGCAGTGCTGGCATCCCATATGTTAGCACTGCTTTGAGTCCTGGCTGCTCCACTTCTGATCCAGCTCTCTGCTATAGCCTGGCAAAGCAGTAGAAGATGATCCACTTTCTTGGGCCCCTGCATCCAAGAGGGAGACTCAGAATAAGCTTTTGTTCCTGGCTGTGGACCAGCTCAGCTCCGGCTGTTCCAGACATTTGGGGATTGAAACAGTGAATGAGAGATCTCTGTTTCTACTTGTCTGTAACTCTTTCAAATAAATAAAAGAAATAAAATAACATAAGTACCAAATACATGCTATAATGTCAGCGAATCTTAAAAACATGCTAAGGAAAAGGAGACACAAAAGATCACATGAACTATCCTCTATAGATCATACAGATAAAATAAACATGCTATTTGTCAGGGGTTGAGAGGGGGGGGAACTTTGGGATGTAATGTTTAATTGGTAAAGATTTTCTCTGGTGTAAGGCAATATTTTGAGGTCTAAATGGAAGTGGCTCTTACATAATACCAAACTGTTAATTTTAAAATTAAAAACTGATTTCCTTTACCTATCTTTTGCAGCATAACCACCACCTCTTGGTGACACATAGTAATCTCTCCGGGAAGACACTGGCTTTCTACGCGGTAGATCTCCATAATTCTCTCTCCCGCGTGATTCAGGACCTTTAGTTTCAACATCATAACATTAAGTACCTCAAAGAACATTTTTTCCTCTTTACAGAAGTCAAAAATTATTCCAAGACTCCATCAATGCTTTTCTGTTTACCGCTTAAACGTTATTCACATTTTTTTCTTGTTATGTTCCCTCTCTACACAGAAAGTTTAAAATAATGTTACCTTATGTAGACAAAACCTCAAAAATAAGATTACTTACACATTTTCCTTCATTGAATGTCTCCTTCTGTTCCTTTTGCACTTGACTATCCTTCCCTTGCATGTGTCATCATTTCAGTTATCTATCCCTTCTCATCACATCAAATTATTCTTAAAAACTTGTCTTCACTCTTACTGCTTATAATTGTTCATCATACTGGTCCATTATTCCTGTTCTTTTTACTATTCAAATTTCAAACACAAAATTAAACCAAGTAATTACAATTTAGTGTAAAGACTAGTTGAAACAAATCTGTCACTATCCTTTCAACCTGTTTTCTTTTTTAAAAAGCCTCAGTATACTCCAGTCTTCTTGCTGTTTAACTCATTTGTTTTTACATACCAGCATTGGCAACTTAGTGCAACAAAACCTTTTTGTAAATACAGATGCTTCTCATAATTTAGTTCTAAGTCAAAATCCTCCTTAAGTTAAATATGAATTTAATATATTATATCTCCTGAACATCGCAGCCAGTTACTAACACAACATACTTCTACAGAAATATAAGATCACAGGGGTTACTGGGAACTGCAGCTTACTTTCACTACCCCGTATCAGAGGAGAGTAAAGATCACCTATCACCAGCCAGGAAAATAGCAAAATTCAAAATTTGAAGTACATAGTTCTTTCACATTATGGTAGAGTGGAAAAATCTGAATTCAGGCTACTGTAAACTTTGGAACTATTTCTTATTTTGTTTTACATAACTGCCTCATTTTCAAAAATTTCACTTTTTTCTGTAGCCACCTCAGTTTTTAAAGGACCTAAGTTATCCTTAACATACTTCTTTCTTTTTCCTTTAGAGTCTTTCAAAATAAAGTTCTGTTATCAATTAATCCTCTTTCCCATTCATTCTCCTAACAAGACTTTGTTATATTTTATGTTTTATACTATATATTCTCTTTGCCTTTGCATATTTTTAAAAGATTTATTTGTCATTTGAAAGAGTTACACAGAGAGAAAAGGAGAGTCAGAGAGAGAGAGAGAGAGAGAGAGAGAGAGAGAGAGAGAGAGAGAAAGGTCTTCCATCTGCTGGTTCATTTCCCAACTGGCTGCAATGGCCAAAGCCGCGCTGATGCGAAGCCAGGAGCCGGGAGCTTCTTCCAGGTCTCCCATGTGGGTGCAGGGGCCCAAGGACTTGGGCCATCCTCTACTGCTTTCCCAGGCCATAGCAGAGAGCTGGATTGGAAGTGGAGCAGGCCGGGTCTCGAACCAGCACCACATGAGATGCCAGCACTGCCGGCAGCGGCTTTACCCGCTACGCTACAGTGCCAGCCCCTGCCTTTGCATATTTCTAATGTCTCCCCCTGCCCTGCCCTACCCTGAATGGCTAAAAGTATGTAACTCAGGAAAATTTCTCATAGTTGTATGTATCTTAATATGCCTTCAGGACCAATGATTCTCATAAACAAGCAGCAAATGAAACACCAATTTTAGTGCTTAAAAACTTCTTTAGAAAAGACTTTCTGGGGGCCAACGTTGTCTCACAGCACATTTATCTACCACCTGCAAAGTCTGGTTCCCATGTCAGAAAACCAGCTCAATTCCTGGCTACTCTGTTTTTTAATCAGTTTCTTGCTAACGTATCTAGAGAGAAAGCAGAGGATGGCCCGTATTTAGCACCTTGTCACCTATTGTGAGAGATCAGGATGGAGTTTCCTGTTCCTGAATTCTTTCTGGCCCAGCCCTTACTGTTGCAGCCCTTTGGGAAATGAACCACCAGATGGTAATTTGCTACTCTGCCTTTCCAATAAATTATATTAAAATCCAGGGCCGGTGCTATAGATCAGTATGTTAATCCTCCGCCTGCAGTGCTGGCAAGCCATATGGACACCAGTTCTAGTCCCGGCTGCTTCTCTCCCAATCTAGTTCTCTGCTATGGCCTGGGAAAGCAGGAGAAGATGGCCCAATTCCTTTGGGCCCTGCACCTGCATGGGAGAAGACCTGGAAGAAGCTCCTGCTCCTGGCTTCGGATCAGTGCAGCTCCGGCCATTTCAGCCATTTGGGGAGCGAACCAACGGAAGGAAGACCTTTCTCTCTGTCTTTCCCTCTCACTGCCTGTAACTCTACCTCTCCAATAAGTAAATAAAATCTTTAAAAAACATTTTTGCATCTTCATTTATTCCTTTACATATGAAATATATTTTAAATGCTTGTTTTTAAATTAAAAATAAACAATTTTGAAGCAAAAGAACAAACTCTCATCCCCCTCTCCAAATGCCCCACAAAAGCCACAGAGGAAGTTGAAAGAGAGATCTGAATCCAGGTTCCCTACTGTTTGGCAGGAACTCCATTACTTATCAGTCAGCACTACCTTCTGCAGTCTGCATTAACAGGAGGGTGGGACCTGAACTGAAAAATGAACTTAAGTAGTACAATGTGGGACACTATCTTCATTTGCATCTTAACTGTTAGGGTAAATAAGAGCTCCCTACTAATGAATATTAATGACAAAAATGTAAACATTCAAACTATTTACTTCATAGAGTTCATTTTTTATTTTTTATTTCTTAGCTAAGAAAGCCATCTTGCTATTCAATCCATCTTACATACACAAACTCTGCTACCTTTTAACTGAAAAATTATTACAAGCTAAATTTTTTTATTTCCTAAATTATTACCAAGTGGCTAGTTTTATTTTACTGCTAATGAACTAGCTTACCCTTGCATATTAGTAATGTAATGGAATATTCATTTGGGGAAAACTGTACCTTTTAAAGCAAGCAATTTTCTCAAATCTTGTCTTGTGTTAATTCTTATTCCTCAATTCCTAGAGATCAGCGTTTCATGTTTTAAGCACTCACTGGCTAATCCTCTAATGGAAATAGGTTTGCTCCGTATGTATTCTGAAGATGCAGATATCTGTATTCACTGATAACTGTATTCAAGGTAAACTGGATAATGGCAGCATCAAGAACCCACTGTACCAAAGTTTAAAAACAGAACTAGAGATTATACTTCTCTCTTTACATGAAGTAAGATATTATGTTGTTAAGCCTCTTTACTAATAAATGTTCTTACTTCTGCTTTGTAATCCAGGACCTTATTTTAAATCTCCTCCTAAACGTTATCTGTTTTATTTGTTCTCACACCTTTTTTGTGTGCTTTCCTGCTTTTAGTTCACTTCAAATCTCTTCATTAGTCCACCAGTGACAATTACATTAAAATTCAATCTTTCCGGCTGGCGCCGCGGCTCACTAGGCTAATCCTCCACCTTGCGGCGCCGGCACACTGGGTTCTAGTCCCGGTCGGGGCGCCGGATTCTGTCCCGGTAGCCCCTCTTCCAGACCAGCTCTCTGCTGTGGCCAGGAGTGCAGTGGAGGATGGCCCAAGTGCTTGGGCCCTTCACCCCATGGGAGACCAGGATAAGTACCTGGCTCCTGCCATCGGATCAGCGCGGTGCGCCGGCCGCAGCGCGCAAGCCGCGGCGGCCATTGGAGGGTGAACCAACGGCAAAGGAAGACCTTTCTCTCTGTCTCTCTCTCTCACTGTCCACTCTGCCTGTCCAAAAAAAAAAAAAAAAAGTTCAATCTTTCCTGCACTATTAGATCTTCCATACATTTCACAACTATGCAAGTGACATGAACTGACTCCTTCCTTAACTATTATGTAAATGTTACATAAAATGTCTTCTATTGATTTCTCTGTATTTCCTTGCCATAAGAAATAAATTATCGTTCATGTTTTTCTGTGTTTATTACTAGCCTCACAATCAAAAAGGATGCCTTGAACAGAAATAGTTCTGTGATCTTAGCACTAACAATGTTATGATTGCCAAGTTTCAGTTATTTTATAATTACTTTAAGAACATAAAACCAGCTGTTAAAATATACAACCCAAAGTTAAACATGTGAGACAATTCTCACAGGACATAATTTTCAAGAGAATCTTGAGGAAAAGCAGCCTTACAATCAAAGAATGTTGGAGGGGACTTTTAATAAAATGTAATAGATTCTGTAATGAATTAATGAAGGAATGGTTTTACTACTATGGTCATTAATTACCTATTACATCTATTATGGGTAACTGAATTTATCTCTTCATCCTGAATTTCCAAATTCCAAATTGCAATTCCAATTCCAAATTCCAAATAATAAGATGCAGAAATACATAGGCAAGTAGATAGGCAGATTTACTATTTCTATGTTGCTTCTTAGGTTTAAACATTAATCCAATTTAACTCATTTTCATTCATAAGAAAACAACTTTAGTTCTAAGGAAAGAAAACTTGTTGTTGCATAATATTTACCTCGTCCTCTCACTGCACTATTGCTTCTTGCTGGAACAGAAGGAGCAGATCTTTTAGGAGGAGGACCTCCACTTCTTGAAGATGGACCTCTTTTAACTGCAAAGGGTCCCCTAGAAGAACTCATGTTGACATTATAAGTGTAGCCTCCATCATCTGCATTTAAGCAAAAAAATCTTTTTTATTAAGCAATATCAACATTCTAATGGCCAAATTTGTTGCTTAAAAATGCCTACTAAATAGTATCATAGTCTTGAGAAGTATTCAACTGTCAAAATTTAGTATTTATAGGATAAATTCTGCTTATGGTGGATTAGCTTGAAAATTCTAGAAAAAAAAGTTCAAGTAGCATTTTATACTGGTGTGGAAAAGATTGGGAGAGAATAAGAGAGTGAAAGAAGAGGGCAAAGTCTTACAAACAAAATCCAGTTAAAGTGAAGGTTTTTTGGTATATTAGGAAGAAAATAATTGATCTTTTGCCTGGTATAAAGGAAGTGTTTTCAAAATAGATCAGCATATAAACCAAAACATCCAAACAGAAACCCAGGTCATTCACAAAATCAAAAGATGATGTGTCAGAAAAAAATGCGGCTTTTACACTAATATAACATTATACAATTCTTACAGTTAATTTATGAAACACTCCTACAATCAATCAATTTGGACTTTGCTAAGTTTTAAAGAAATGAACATTAAAATGTAAAAACTTTATCTAACTGGAATCACTCTTAAATATATTCTAATTCCCTGCTATTATCAAATAAATAAATGTATAGTCTCCTGTAAGGTGGTAAAGTTGATTTTCAAGATCAATTTACTTAGAGAAAAAAAAAAATCCCAAACTATGGAACTGAAATTTCACATGAAACATCTTCAGTCTTTCATACATCTGATTATAAATATTGGTTGGGTTTTTTTTTTTTGGTTTATAATGAATATATTCCTTTTGAGTGTAAAACAACATTTTTTAAATGTAAGGTATACAAACCATGCATTTCATACACACAAATATAGGAACATAATGACTGTTTGCAAACCTAACTGCTCTCACACCCATACTCCTGCTCTTCTTCCTCCTCCTTCTCCTAGTCCCATTCTTATTTTTTACTAAGATCTATTTTCAATTAACTTTATTCACATAAGATTAACAAATAGTATGAAAAAAACTGTTCCTTAACAGTGAAGACAAGAGCTATTGAAAGTCATTGCAACTGAGAGTGTCAATTTCACCTCTATATATTACTTTCAGGTATTCTATTTGTTACCACAGATCAGGAAAAACATAAGGTACTTATCTTTTTGGGACTGGCTTATTTTACTAAGTATAATGGTTTCCAGTTCTATCCATTTTGTTGCAAACAACAGGATTTCATTTTTATTTTTCCACTGTGTAGTATCCTACAGTGTACATATAGCATTAATTCTTTTTCCAGTCTTCAGCTGACAGACATCTGGCTTGATGCCATATCTTAGCTACTGTGAACTGACCTGCATTGAACATTCTCCAAACTGTCTTCCACTGTGGCTGTACAGTTTTATATTCCCAGCAGTAGTGGATTAGGGCAACTTTTTTCCCCCCACATCCTTAATCAACATTTGTTATTTGTTGATTTTTGAATGAAAGCCTTTGTAACGGGTGAGTTGAAGCACCATTGTGGTTTTGATTTGCATTTTGCTAATGGCCACTGATCCTGAGCACTTTTTCTTCTGTGTGTTGGCTATTTGGATTTCTTCTTCTTTCAAGATTTATTTATTTGAAAGGCAGAGTTACAGAGAAGCACAGGCATAGAGACACAGAGACCTCCCAGCTGCTGGTTCACCCCCTAAATGGCCCCAATATCCAGAGCTTTGGCAATCCAAAGTCAGGATCCAGGTGATTCCACTGGGTCTCCTAAGGCGGCCCAAGGATTTGGACCAACCATCTTCTACTGCTATCCCAGGCCATAGCAGAGAGCTGGATCAGAAGTGGGTCTTGAACCGGCACCCATATAGGATTCCAGCACTGCAGGATGCTTCTTTACCTGTTAACACACAGTGCTGGCCCCTGGATTTTCCCTATTGAGAAGTGTACATTCAAGTTCTTTGCCCATTTCTTAACTAGACTGTTTTACTGTTGTACAGTTTATTGATTCTCTATATATTCTGGATATTAATCCTTTATCAGCTGCATAGTTTGTAAATATCTTCTCCCATTCTGTCAGTTGCCTCTTCACTTTGCTGGATGTTTCTTTTGCAGTGCAGAAGCTTCTCAACTTGAGCAATTCCATTTATCAATTTGTCTTTGTATTTCTGTGCTTCTGGGGTCATTCCCAAGAAAACTTCACCCATCCCAGGGTCTTTCAGGGTTTCCCCAAGGTTATCTAATAATTTCACAGTACTATGTCATAGATTTAGGTCTTTGAACCATTTTGAGTGTATTTTTGTGTAAGGTGGAAGGTAGGGGTCTTACTTCATACTTCAGCATGTGGAGATCCAGTTTTTCCAACATCAATTGTGTGAGACATTGTTCTCACTCCAGGGATAGATTTTAGCTCCTCTGTCAAAGATAAGTTGGTTGTAGATGTGTGAATTGATTTCTGGAGTTTCTATTCTATTCAATTGTTTTATTCATCTGTTTTATGCCAGTACTAGGCTGTTGTGATTATAAATGCTCTTTATTATGTTTTGAAATCTGGGAATGTGATGCCTCCAGCTTTGTTTTTTGAGATTTCTTGTGTTTCCAAATGAATTCAGCATCGTATTTTTTCTGTATCTGAAAAGAATGCCCTTGTTATCTTGACTGGGATTATGAGAGTCCTAAATCCACACAGGTCCAAGATATCTCCCATACTCTTTCCTGGCATCAAGAAAATAAAAACATTGGTGGCCACACTCCTAGAGAGCTTCACCATTCTCATAATCTGTCCTAGCTACAAATCAGGCCTGAGAGACTTTCTGAGCTTCACCATTCCCGCAACTGCTCCCAGTTACAAGTCAGAGATCCTGTGCTTCCAGGTCCCTATTACTGCCACAGCTATAAATGAGGCAGCCCTGATGACTCCTTGTGTCAGGAACACCATCTCACGGTATCTAGTATCCTCTCCAGATGCTCCAGCCCGAATCCCACCTTGTTTTGTTTGGCCACTTCAACTCTCCTCCCACCTAACTCTGAACTCCCTTGACACAAGTTCCCTATAAAACTCCAGCTCTACACATGCACTCTGAGCTCCTCTCCCTCTGATGCTGCTCCTGGAAGTTCTTTGCCCTAATGGAACTTATTGAGGCTCAGCGTGGTCTTGGTTGTCGTTCTTGGTCATGGCTGAAAACACTAACAGGGACACACTGAATCTGTAAATGGCTTTGGTAGTATGGATATTTAATGATGTTCATTCTTCCAATCCATGAACATGGTAGTTTCCATTTTTTGTGTCTTTTCTATTTATTTCTTTAATATTTGTATTTTTCATTGTAGATATCTTTGATGTCCTTGTTTAAACTTATTCCAAGGTGTTTAATTTATTGTGAATCCATTGTGAATGGTTTTGATCTGAGAAGTTCTTTCTCAGCCATGGCATTATCTGTGTACACAAAGGCTATTTCATTGTATGTCCTGCTACTTTACCAAATAGTTTTTTGCCTTTCAATAGTCTCTTAGTGCAGTCTTTTGAATTCCTTATTATTGAATCATGTCTGTAAATAAGGATAATTTGACTTCCTCATTCCCAATTTGTATCTCTTTCATGTATTTTTCCTTCCTAAAAGTTCTGGCTAAAACTTCTAGGCCTATATTGAACAGCAACAGAGAGAGTGGGTGCCCTTGTCTGGTTCCAGATCTCAGTGTTGCTTCCAACTTTTCCCCATTCAATAAATCGCTGGCCCAGGGTTTGTCATAAATTGCCTTGCTTGTGTTGAGGAGTGTTCCCTCTATAAACAACTTGCTTAAGGTGCTTTCTCGACATCTACTGAGATTTTTTTTTTGTTCTAAGTTTGTTAATGTGTTGTATCATGTTGATTGATTTGTGAATGTGGAACCATCCATGCATTCTGGGGATAAATCCCACTTGGTCTGTGTGAATGGTATTTATGATGTGTTGCTGGATTCAACTGGCTATTATTTTGTTGAGGATTTTTGCATATGTGTTCATCAGGGAAACTGGTATGTAGTTCTCTTTATCTTCTGCAGGTACTGGAATTAAAATGATGTAGGCTGAATGTTTGGGAAGATTCGCTCCCTTTCAATTGTTTTGTATAGCTTGAAAAGAATTCTAGTTAGTTCCACTTTAAATGTTGGTGGAATTCAGCAGTGAAGCCAACCTATTCTGAGCTTTTCTTTGTTGGGAGGGTATTTATTATTGATTGGATTTTTGTCTTGGTTACTGGTCTGTTTAGGTTTTGTGTATCTTCATGAATCAATTTTGTTAGGTTGTGCATGTCCAGGAATCTATCCATTTCTTCTAGTGGCAAGGCCAAGGCACTTTCAGCTAGCTGACAAGGTCACAGCAAGAAGGTCTGTCTCAGCAAGGCATGAGAACAACAGCTAAGGTCCTCTTGGTGGTTTTAGGTTTGTTGGGAATTGCACTCTGTATAAGAAGCTAGAACTTCCTGGTGGTCCTGCTAATGATAGCTGTATTTCTAATGTTAGGAAGAGCGCTTGGTCTCGTAATCCCCAAAATGTCCATTGCTTTGTAAAATTTTAATCAAGAAGAATGTTGGTATAGGAGAAGGGGTTGATGCTTTATGCAAAGTTGAGTTGTTTGTGGAAAAGAATTAAAAGGCAATAGGCTCCTGGTGTATACTTCCCACTAAAATAAAGGTAATGTTATTAAAGCTTTAATTCAATACGTGCTACAAATACCAGTATGGTTAGGATGTCAAAACTGAGGAATAGATCTAAGTGAACCTTTAGAAAAGCACAATAAATAAAGAGTTACGGAAAGAACTGCAAAAAGAAGGGATACATTTTAAAAAGGGCCTGCTTTGAACACTAGTACTTCAGTAAAGATTAGATTAGGAAGGTAATATTCTAGCTGTGTAGCCAATTTCTGCATAACTTGACAGCACTCGAGGCCTTGGCTCATATGCGCAGCCCATTATCTTGCATCTGTCTGATAGTAACCCATGCTCTGAATATGCCCTTGAAAATCAAAGAAATTGTTACTACATGAGAATGGGTAACAGACTTGTTACTGTAAGGAAAATCATTATGTGACTTATGATATAAAAATAAAGCCTGGTGCTCAAGCGCCCAGAGCCATGCCATCAGCCTTGCTGTCCATTTGTCTCTCATTTCTTCCTGTGCTGACCCTATCACACCTTTGGGAACCCCTGGACTGGCTGGTGCAGGACTCCAACTTTCTAGGTTTCCCAATTTGTTGGCATGAAGCTCTTTGTAGTGATTCCTGATTAATGTTTTTTATTTCTGTGGTAATCTGTTATATTTCCTTTTTCTTTTCTAATGTTATTGATTTGGGTCTTCTCTTTTTCTGGTGGGTCAATGGTGTATCAATTTTTATGTTTTCAGTAAAACAGATCTTTATTTTGCTATCTTTTGTAGGTTTGGGTTTCTATTTTTAAAATTTCTTATTTCTTTTCTCATAATTTTGGATTTGCTTGCTGTTGTTTTTCTAGTCCTTGAGATACACTGATAGCTCATTTATTGGTGCCTTTCCACTTTCATGATGT